CTTTATTCAATTTTTTTTTTTTTATTTATTCAATTTGTTCTGTTTTTTTGAATTGAATAATAAATATTTTGAGGCCTCTAAAAGTTAAAAATATTTAAATAATTAATTAATTATTATTAATATTGTATTACAAGTTTATTTGTGCGTATACCGGAAATCCGTTCAAAGCCAAATGGCATGATCTATGAATAATAAATAATAAAAAATAGTTCTAATAATACTAATACTAATACTAATTGTATTAATTTATAGAAGTTTCATTAAAATTTTAGTTTTTTTTTCAAAACCTAAAAATGAATTTAACTAATAATAATAATTAGTTAGTTTTAACAAAATGATTAGTAGAAAATATAGAAATATTTCTATTTGAATTAGTGACTAACTTTTTGCTATCGAATTATAGTTATTTTTTATTCATTCAAATTTAGAGAGTACATGAGTTATTATAATAACAATATTAATTAATATAATAATAATAATAATAATAATAATAATAATAATAATAATAATAATGATAAATAACTATTAACAAAAAATAAATAAAGAAGGAAATTTCCAATACATTAGATCGTTAATGAAACATCGATCATGATCAACATTCCTGGATATTATACATATATTTCGAAATATATTGTATATGAGGCATTTCATATGAGAATACTGGGTCATGTCTCGGATTTTTCTTAAAATTCGGTAAATTGTAGTGATAGTGGTGCTAAATAAGTGTACAAATTTTGAATTTGAAATTTTTAATGTTTTTCGAGATATTTACAATAACAAATTTGAGCAATATTTTTTTGCTTTACTTATAACTTTTTCCTTACTAAAAATAGAGAAAAATGTTGTAAATGTTTTTTACGCAGAAGACCTTAAACTCTTAGAAAAAAATTATTTTTTAAAAAAAATATTAATTTTTAAACAATTTGTTTAAAAAAAATATGTTTATAACTTTTAAACATGTTCTCCCTTATTTAGAAGCGCGAAAAAAATCATGAATATTGTTTAAGTCATAATAAATCGATAGTTACATTTTTGAGATATGGCATTATTTTTTGTTTTCGAGATATTAATGCGTAAAAAACATTTACAACATTTTTCTCTATTTTTAGTAGGGAAAAAGTTATAAGTAAAGCAAAAAAATATTGCTCAAATTTGTTATTGTAAATATCTCGAAAAATATTAAAAATTTCAAATTCAAAATTTGTATACTTATTTAGCACCACTATCACTACAATTTACCGAATTTTGAGAAAAATCCCAGACATGACCCTGCGTATTCTCATATGAAATGCCTCATATATATATATATATAAACTGTATGTAAAATATCTCGATAATAAATACAATATAAAAACAATAGAAAAATATGTAAGCACACAATATAAAATATATGAAAGTAATAAAAATCTATAAATATATTCAAGTAGAAAGCTCATGATCTGATCGACTCTCTTATAAAAAGATCAATATATTTCCATATATGTATTTATCTGAAATTTATATTGGTATAGGTTTATATGATCCATACAAACAACAACTATAATGGAATATGTGTATGATTATATATATATATATATATGTATATACTTATTTATTTATTTATTTATATGTAGTTGTATATACAGTACGTTATGTTGTATATTCAAGCAAGCAACTTAAGGGAAAGTGGTGTCCTACTTGTGTGCCAGTTACCAACACGGCGACAAACTTAAAGAATCCTTTATGTAATCGAGCGTGTAACTCGGAGAGCGTGTCGCAAGATTCCATGAATGAATCGCTGTTTCGTATATATATATATATATGTATAGCGCGCCAACGGATCGATCAATGACGATTCGATAGACAAATCGAGTGATTGCTCTCCTCCTCGCACTGGAGAGATCAATCGATTTGCTTGACCGAGAACTATACAACCAATTCTGGTTTTTTTCTCTTCTTCCTGCATGAGGAAATAACCGCAAAATCCAAGATAGATATTTTATGGTTTTCGACATCAGAATTCAATCTCATTTTCGCGTAGAGGATTAAGAAGAAAAAAAAAATTATATACATTTACTCAGTAAAATGTATTTTTGAGGTCTATAAGCATTCATTTCTTTTTTTATTTATAGCAGTTAAAATAACATTATGTTTTCAATATCTTTTTTTTTTTGGTACGGTTTCCCTAGGAGATAAAAAAAAAACTAGAAATTGGATTGCGGATTTCATTTTATATTCGTTATTTAGATAATATTTCTTCCTTCACTGAATAGCAAAAGGGAAAAAAATTAAATTTCAAATATCCTCTTTTTATATTCTTGGAATTAAAATATGATACAAAATAAAAATAATTTATTGTTAATATTAACATTTTCCTCTAAGATTAAGAGTTGATAGTAAGATTACTTTTAAAAGAAAAAGACATATTCTTTTCATGTTGTAAATATACACAAAAAAAAACATATTTGCGCCTGAGAACTAAATAAATATTTATTTTTTCAAATGAATTTTATGTGGTTGAAACAAAAATTTTATTTGCGTAAAATAAAAATTTATTTCTATTAAATAAACATTTTTATTTGTACCAAAATAATCTTATATTTGAAGCAAATAAATATTATATAGTTATATCCTACACTAAAAAAAAAGTTATTTGATTCAAATAATCGGTTATTAAATAAATATTTATTTGGATCAAACAATTTTTATTTGAATTAAATATTTGTTTCAAATACATTTTGAATAAAAATTATTTGAATCAATATTATTTAAGTTAAAAAAATCTCTGAATGTATAAAAGGAAAAGTTGCATAATATAAATATAAGAGAAATACGTTATTTTTTTTTCTCTATATTGTAATGAAAAAAATAATGTATAATTAAATTAATATAAATTTTGTTTATATTTATTAAGACTTTCGACTTGGAAAGTTTTATAATATAATTTGATGAACTTTCTTGAAGCTGTCAATAATTTCAAAATCTTTTGGGATTATACTTTCACTTTTTAGAAAATAATTGAGAGTGTTTTTCATCTTGAGGAATATAAAATATTATATTAGACCTTTATACATATATAAATTGGATTTTTTTCTCTTACATAATAAAGATTTCATGTAATAATTTTATTACAACGATATTCATTAAGAATTTACAAAGTTGTAAATTTGTAGGTCTATTGCATAAGCATGAGTAATTAATAAAATTAAGAAAATATTCCGTATTTATATGATAAGAGACAAAAAAAATATTTGTTTGTGTGCCTTATATACATATAGAAAATAATGTTCGATTTGTCAATAACAAATCAAAATATAGTAAAACTGCAAGAAAGTGATTTCACTTTCTATTTCAGCTTTCAAGTGTTTTTTCTTTTAAAAGTAAAAGTATTCCCTATAATTATACTATTCATATTATACACATATAGGTAATCTTTTAAGAACATATATATATATATGTATATTATTCAGCGAACAGGTCATTAACATTTAATTGAACGTATAATTTCTATTCAGCATCGCGCAAAAAAAAATTTCAATGCTCTTTATAATTTTTGGTAACTAAATTTTTATTTTCATTTTGTTTTCAAAAAAAAAATTTTTTTTTTTTTATGCTACTTTCTCGTTATTATTTTGGAGTTTCAGTTGCTTTTTTCACGCACTCACTTTCTGTAATTATTCATAAGTCATTCATTATTTTAAAGACAACTCGAACAACTTTCAACGCTTATTAAGAAATATATTTTTTTTTAATTCAGCAAACTACTTACAGTTTCTAATACATGTTTGCCAATCTATTACTCAAAGGTATATCGATTTTACTTATTTATTAATGAAATCGTAAATAAAATTGAATGAAAAAAAGAAAGAAACAAAATTTAAGCTAACCTATTACAAAAATTGTAAATAATTTTCAGTTTAATTTGAATTAAAAAAAAAAAAAAAAATAATTCAAATTTAATTTAAATATTAAATGTTATATGAATTATAAATATCAAAATAAATAGTATTTAAAAAAAACTTTCTTACATAACTTTTGGTTATTAAGTTTTTTGTTCTATATATTTGAAACAAGATAATTACTTTATTTTTTCAATCGATGTTCATCGTGTTTCAAAAGTGTCAGATAAAATCCGTGCTCGCGCACCATTACGTAAATGTTTATTATTTTGATAAATTAGTTTCATAAAAGTGGATTTCAATCAACAAAGATATATCAAAATGTCAATAGATAAAATTTAAGAAAATGTCTCAAACAGAACAAAAATTATTATCATACATGTAAGGAGAAATAATTCATTATTAATTCAAATAACCTACATATACATTTTAAATGCAACTTTTTTCCATAATCTTTTACTTTTTAAATATTTTTTTAAAAATTTAATTTTAATTTAATTTAAAAAAAAAAAAAATTTTTTTTTGTAATTGTTATTAAAAATTTTTCTAACAATATATAATAATTAATTTATTTCAAAGGCAAATGAAAGTCAATGAATTAAATTCAAAATTCACATGGAACACTGATCCAACGCGAAATGTATTTTTAAAAATGGAATGCTATAAATTACGTGATGAATTATTAAATGGAAATCGAGAATTAATAATGAAAAGAAGAGAAAATTTAAAAATGTTATTTTTGCAAGATGCAATGGACCAAGAAAAATCTATGAGAGAACATGGTTACGCCTACATTCCTACACAACCGTGACGACAAATAATTATTATTTTTATTTCAAAACTCATTTCTCAGGCTTCTCATTATTTTCACGATCTTGACCGATATTTTATATTTTATCATCTTTGAAAAAAAGACAAAAAAAAATAAAGTCATAAGAGTTTACTAAATTATTTCCATATTTAGATTTCGCAGAAGGAAATCTCTATTCAATTAACATTAATTAAAATTAATAAATATTGTCAATTTTCTATACGTTTTCTTAAAAAAAAAAAAAGGACAATGACGAGACATTTTTTATTCAATATTCATTTGTCCTTAGGAGAATTGCAAATAATAACATGTTTTCAGGAAAATTCATATTTATTATATATACTTCGAAGAGCTTACAATTTTATCATCATTGACAGACATAAATAAAATATATATGTATATTTAGGTAAGATATCTTACACGATCACGGAGAGAAGAAAATATATTGAAAAATTCTCGCGCGCATTTATTAAGTATGACTTTGGTTCATTCCAAAAAAAAGAACAGAGAAATTTTCTTCTCTTTGATTTTTTTTTTTTTTTTTTTTTACTGAGAAAAAGGCCTCAATTATATATATATATATTTGTCTTGCATTTCTCTTATCTTTGAAACTTTACACGCATATATGAAGGAATGAAAATTTTGTTTCCTACTTCCTATATTTAATTACTACAAAATTACATTTTTTTTTTTAAACTTGCAATTTCGCTGAATATTTTTTTTTTCTTTTCAATAAAAATTATAATCGTATACGATTTTAACATTTTTCATTTAAAAAATATTGCTTTTTAATTTTTATTAATTATTATTGCCAGTTTCTAATTAGATTTTCAATTTTTTGCTTTCAATTTATTAATTAGCTATATTCTGTTCTAATTTGAACTAAATTATTTTTTATTAGTTATAGTTAGTTTATTAAATTTCGAATTTTTAATAAATAAAGCTTCGAATTTTAATACATTGAAAATTCGAAATTAAAAATTAATTTTTAATTAAACTTCTCTTTTTAAATTCAATTGAACTAATAAATATTTTCAATATATTTACACCAAAATTTGTGTTTTTTTTTTTTTTTTTTAAATTCTAGAGAAATTTTCACTCACTTGCGATCTGAATATTGTCAAAGGCCTCTGACTGGTTTGGCAAATTTTTTTTTTTTTTTTTTTTTACAATTTTGTCGAATCACCTTGAATTTATATCTTGAACTTTATGGACGGCAATTGTCGCATATATGGAGTTTATTAGTTTGACGAAGACAAGAGACTAATAAAATTTCGAAGGTTATTTTTCATTTCGCTATCAAACATTATAAATAAGTACTTTTTATAAAGTATAATATAATTATTTAATAATACAATTATTGTGCATTTATTAACATAAAGTATATTTTTTTTATGTTCCTATTCGCGCATAATAAAAGATGAAAATTAATCCTTTTTTCAACGTCTATAAATAATTTTGATTTTTACAAAACCAGTTAGGTCTACTTTTAAAACGATAATTCCATATATCTAATTAATATCTAATTATAATAATTTATAATAATAGTAATAATAATAATAATAATAATAATAATAATAATAATAATAATAATAATAATAATATTACAATACATATTTTAATATTTTTGAATATTAATTACTAATATTACTTAATTAATTGATAATACATATTATTACTACATACATTAATTTAATATTATTATTTAGTAATAATTATGCAGACATTTTAATGTCAAATAATAGTATTTGGCATGGCAACATGAACAAATTTTGTGCGCAGCGTTTTATTTTTTCAAATTGAAACAGTATTTACGCCTTAAAATATATTTATTTTAACTTTTTAACATCTAATATCTTCTCGTGATAATTCAAATAAATAATGCAGTATAGATTTTTTCGTAAGAAAAAAACTTAAAATTTTATGTTTAATACTTTCTCGCATAACATAATTAAATGATTATTTTTTTAATAATAATTATAAAAAAATTGTTTCGTCAAGTCTCTTGTCTTCGTTTAGAATTCGAAGCTTTCTTTTTAACAACAAATTAAAATTTATTCATCTCAAAAAACTATAATTTTGAAACTAACATAGCTTATCGAAAAATATTATGTATTTCAAATAGTTAATTTCTGATTTTAATATGTATTCGATATTTCTATCAATACAATAATAACATATTTTTGTTATGTGGACAGAAATTTTTTTATTTTTTACAATCCTGCTTTTTATTGTGCATAAAAAATTTGTCTAAAAATAGTATTTTCATTACATGAGAGGTATATATAATTGTTTTTATAGTTTATAAATCTGATTTTTCTTTTTTTTTTTTCATAAATTTATATATGTAATTTGCAAGTTTTCGTTGAATAAAATTTATCAAGTCAAACTTTTTGGAATAAATATCTAAACTTGAAAAAAAAAAAATGAAAAAGAAATATTGATAAATTTATTGAAACTGTTTTTGTAAAAATGTAATAAATAATTTTTGAGGCCTTTAGAAGAGAAAGAAATTCGTTTCTTTAAATTTTTGTTTGAAAATATAAAACTATGAAATCAACCTCAAAAATTATTAATTGAAATATAAATATATATTTCATTTTTTATTATTTACAATCGAACGCGCTAATAATTGTAAAATTAATTATAAAAGCGAAATTGCATTTGATAGGCGGACATAAAGACACGGTTGAGAAACACTGTTTAAAACCGAAAGTCGTCCTGTTCGGATGTTGAAAGAAAGTGATTTCGCGTCTCGCTTTCTCCATTTTTCATCTATCGATTAGTTTGGAAAGAAAAATGGTGTTATCGCAAATTTCCGATGATGTCATTTCCGTTTTTTTTTTTTTTTTTCATGAATCTAATTTACAATCCACTGTAAAACGCTGGTATCACCCCCTCCAATTGATACAAGTCGAGTATCATCCTGTAGAAAGGCCACATTTGTCACATGACTCGAATGACCTCCATAAGAATGATGAAGAGACTAGGAGGAAAAAAATCCAAAATTATTATGCAAGTGAAATTTTAAAATTCGATTTTTAAATAAAAATTTTTTTTTAATTTTCAATTTTTGAGATTTAAATAATTGAAATTTATATTAATTAAATAATTTTAATTTTAATTACATTTTTGCAAAAAAAAAAGTACAATTTTTATTTTTAGGAATTGAAATAAATAAATTTAAAAATCAAAATAAAAAATATTTTAACTGTTACGAAGTTTTGAAAAATATTTTTTGACTCTTACCTTTGGTTGGCAAGCTGGATAAGAAAAGAGTTTGACTTTACCAAAATCATCTCCAGTGGCAAGTAACTTGCCATCGCCACTACGAGAACAATTATTAACATCAGTACCGTCGGCACCATCCGGCCAAATTCCAATTGTTTCAAAAGAAATAACACAACTCTGCGTTGACCAATCAACATCCCTTAAACTTGATGATTGAGGAATTTGTCGGCAAACTCCCGGATTCCCTAAAAAAATCGAATTTGAATTTTTTTTTATTATCCACTGTCAGTAAGGTAGATTTCATTTATTGTAGAATTTTCTCTTTACTAGACAAGATAATTTTTATTTTATTTATTCAGAAAAAATGTTATTTGTTTAAAATTGTTAAAATTCTTTTTTAAATTTTTACAAATTTCTTTCAATTATTTTATAATTTATATCAAAATCTTCTCTCAATCTTTCAAAATTCATAATATTTTCTCGAAACAAATTCAAAATCTGTTTTTAAAACTTTTTCATAAAATTGAAAAAAATGAAATAATTTTCAACAATAAAACAAGAAAAAAAAGAAACAAAATAAAAGGTTTTAAAAGTAAATTTAAAAATTATACTCACAATAAAGTAATTCGTAATCTCCGCTGTTACTTCGAAGATAATTTCCATCTGCCGACCAATCTAAATGAGTTATAAAACTGGAATGTCCCTGAAAATAAATAAATAATTTTAGTTTGATTTTTTTTTTTTTAATAGTTTTATAATTAAAAAATATATTACTACATTGCATTGCATTTTCTTGTACAGTAAATTCTCGATATTTGATCATGTTATGGTTTGAGAAAAAGTTGAAAATAAATTTTTTATAACTATAAACAAATTTATTGAAAATACATTGTATATTTATAATTATTAAAATACACAGCACCTATTAAAATCAAATTACTTTGCATGATTTATTTCTCAATGTTAAATAAAAATATATTTATTTCAAAAAATTATCGAGACGATACTGTTAATAATTTTTAGAGAATTTTTAAAAACTAATCCTAAATTTGTCTCGAACATGCGGTTTTGCTGCAAAATAATAATGATGCAAGAAATGCTATAAAAATATATAGAAAACAAATTTAAAGCGTGCTTGTGATGAGTGATGGCTTGTCTATATATATATAATACTTATTTTTATATGATAAAAAATAAATCTCTACTTTCTATTTTTCTAGAAAATGGTTTTTTTTTTAAACGAGACATTTTAAGATTTTTCAAATTTCAATTTAATTAGCTAAAATTTATAATAATCAAATTTAAATTAAATAAATTGTAATTTTCATATATTATTTTAGAAAAAGAAGAAAAAAGGAATCAGAAAATATTTTTAAAAAATCACAAAATAAGTCAATGAAAAATAAAATTATACTAATTTTTTTTTTAAATTATAATCTAAAAATTAAAAAACTATATATAGTTTTTGAATGGCATTTTGAAAATGTCTCTTTTAAAGATGAATGACAAATCTTACTCCGCGTCTTCGAATCCTCTTTGGCTGGAATGCGAAAAAAAATGATATTACTTCAATTATTTTTGATAAAAAAAAGAAGCCTTGAAATTTTATGACATAATTAATATTCTCGATTTAATTTTTATAAAGTTTTCCAAAAAAAAAATAAATAAATAAAAACTCATTGAATATTTCAACCTACCATACAACGTCCAACTCGACTGTATTTTATTGCTTCTTCGTTCACTTGATAAATGTAAATGTGATTATCTCTAGAACCAATAGCAAGCAATGAGCCATCCGGGGAAAATTTCATTACCTAAAAAAATTATCATTATTATATTTAAATCTTCATTGATGTTTTGTCCGAATTAATATAAATTATAATATTTTTTAAAATTTCGTCAATTTTTTTTTTCAAAAAAAAAAAAAAAAACAAAAATTCGTTCAATCTAAGTGTAATTAAAATTTTTTTTTTTTATAAAGACAGAGGCTAAAATTACGTAAAGTTTGAAAAAATTGTCAATAAAGTGCAAAATTGCTCAATTTAATTGGAAGATTTCCAAAAAGAAGTTTGCCAATTTTTTTTTTCGCTTAATTTATATGCTTGATGAGAGAATTGGGATACATTTACTATAAGAAAATCACAATTGTTACAATTACATTATCTCAAATTGTTCATATTGTTTTCCCTATTATCTAGATATATATTGCAAAATCAATTCTCACCTGAATTGGCTCAGAACCATCTGTATGATGACTGTATAATTCTCTAGTTTCACTGTCAATCACTAACCATTTTCCATTTGTACAACCGACAACCAATATATTTCCATCTGGCGAAAAGCAGACACTTTGCGCTTGCTCCTAATAATAATTGACATTTTCAATTAACAATTTACTCCAAATAAAATATTAAATAAGAACAATAAAATTTTTTTCAAAAAAATATTTTAATATATAAATATTTTTCCTATTTATAAATTATTTTAACAGTTTATAAATAAAGAAATAAATTTTAAAAAAATTATTTATAACAAAAATTATTTTTAAATACTTTGTTTCAAGACAAGAAAAATATATTTCTTTTTTTAAATTTGTCAACTGGATCTCAAGGAAATATTTTTTTTTTTTTTTTTTATTAAAAAATTTCAATTTGTTTCTAACTTTAAGAAACAATTTTTTTTCTGATATTTTCAGAAACTTATTTTTATCACAGTGAGTAAAAAAAAAAACTCACCCCGATGTCCTTACTCCAAACGACAGTGTGACTGAGACTATCCCACATTTGTAATAAACGATCATGAGCTGCAGTTGCAAATTGTGGCAAAGTTGGATGTGATGCCAAACCCCATACCTCGTCAGCGTGTCCCAAAACCGTTGGATGAAATTCCATTTCCATATCACCAACCAAAATACAATTTCTCGTTGTACCCACTAAAAATTGAGAACCTCTGCCTTCGTTGACTGTACGAATTCCACCAAAGTGATCCTCAATCTGGCAAAAATTGTTTATAATATATAACAGTGAAATTACCCAATCTCTTCAATGCCACGACCTATATATATATGTATATAATAAGAGACCTTATTGTAATTTTGGACAACGAGGACATTTGTGAAACGAGATTCATTAATATATTCTCTCCTTTTAATTTTAAGTTTAAATTTCAGTTAACCATATTTAACTATAAAATTATTTTTAACCAATAGAAAAAAAATCTAGAAAAAAGCTTTTTTCTATCAGAATCACCAATCAATAAAAAATCGATTTTTTCAGACATCCTTTTATCTGTCCAGATCAAATTTAATAAATTATTTGATTTATTTTTTTGATATCCTATATAAAGCAATATTTTATAATAAAATTCAATGTTACAAAAATAAGTAAACAAATTCGTTTGTTTGAACGAAACTAAGAAAAAGTGTTTTATTTAAAACAAAAATTTTTGAAATAAAGCATTTGTAAATTAGAAAAAGCTTTTTTGAATAAAAAAATTTTTTTTTGGGATTAATAAAATGGTTATTTATCTACCTGTGCACTTTGGCCAGTTTTGTTCAAGGACCCATCAAGATGATAAAGCATTCCATCCTTGCCACCACCTGTGACGATATTTCCATCCTTTAAAACACACATGGAAAATATCGATCCCTCGTGGACATTTTTCACCAGCCTTGCAATTGTATTCGTTCCTTGTAAGAGAAAAATAGAATTTTTTTTTTTTATTTATAAAAATATATTTACAAATAAAAAAGTTTTTATCATAAAAAGAAAAATTTGTCAGTTAATTTTTTTTTTCAAAGTAAATCGTAATTTGATCGAAATTTTTTCAGTATCGAAATATTTCAGTTTCAATTTAAAATTAAATTTCAGATTAAAATAAAATAAAAATTTTAAATTACTTTGATGGACCAAAGGCCAGAAAATCCTTACTTTTTTATACTACTAATTAATGTCCTTGAAAATCAATAATTGAAAAATTCGAATTTTAGATTAAATTTAATTTATGTATGTTTTTTTTTTTTTTTTAATATTATTTGAGAAATAATAAATAATTCTTTACTGATTTTGTGTATACCTCTTGCCCAAACAATAATGTTTCCATTACTATCACCAGTGAGGACATCACCATTTTGATTGAAAGCAACACAAGTCACGTATCTTGGCTTTTCGCGACTCTCAAAAACTCCCATTTTCTTGTAAAGCATTCCACCATTGTCCAAGGACCAAAAGGATACGTGACCTTTGCCACATGAGACAATCTGATTTCGTTCCAGCGGATGCCATTCGGCGCATACCACCGTATCAACCGAACACTGTAATTGAAAATCGTCGTCCGTTTAATCATTTACTTCCGGTACTAAAAAAACAACATTTAACAACAATATAGCTAACGAACCAAAAAAAAAAGAAAAGAAAACTAATGTCACGATTTTTCTGTTTATTTGTATATATATATATTTTTTTTCTTCAATGTTAAATTTTCATTAGATGGAATTTCATTATACTATATAGAATTTACTATTGGTTGAATTTTTATTTTTTCGAATTATTATTTAACAGAAGTTCAATTTAAACGAATAGAAATTCGTTTAAATTGAACTTCTTCTATCTTACAGCATTTAACGAATTTTCATTTGTTAAAATTTACATTTCACAGAAGTTTTAAAACGTTACATTTTTTTTTTTTACAGAACTCTCGTTTGTACGAATAAATATCCGAAAGGAAAATTAGCGCTCAAATTTTTCTGACAGATATGTTTATTTGAAAAAATGAAAGTTTTGTAAAATCAAAAATTCGTCGTTTTATGAATTCTCTAAAATGTAAATTCGAAATATAATGAAAAATTTACTAGAAACAAATTCTTATTAATTCCCATTCTTTCTGTAAAATAAAAATTCTTTTAAATAACTATTTGGTCTAATAAAAATTCGAGCATAATAATTTGTAAAAAATTATTATAATTATTATTATAATCAGTCAAAATGGATTAATTTTAACAAATTAATTTTTGAGCTTAAAAAAAAAAAAGAATCTTACCTTCGTCTCGGTGACTTTGACGCCTCGATCACCTTTTTGCCAATCCCAAATGGAAATATTATGATCCGCAGTTTCATCAATAGCGCACAAAAAATTTCCCCCATCTGCTTTTGAAAATGATAAACAGCAAATTGATCCATCAAATTCACCGCTACCGATTACTGACAGTGTTGTTAAACTCACTGAATTCCATATCCTAATGTGTGGCTAAAAATATTTAATCGAAAAATGTATAGTAAACAAATTATTATAAGGTTCAAGTTAAAAAAATTAAAAAAAAAAAAATTATACTCTTAATTTAAGAGGGCTTTCCTCTCAAAGTACAATTTTTTTTATGATAATAAATTAATTAATATTAAATTTAAATAAATAATAATATTTATAATATAATTAATAAATTTATTTAAATAAATTTATATACGTGCCATTCCAGGAGTTTTTTAGTACTTTTCGGAGTAACCTTTCCAAATTAAATGAAACATTTTTTTATTAATATTTATTAATATAAAGGTCCAAAAAAATCACTTTTTAAGTAAAAACAATTGTTTATTTAAAAAATACAACAATAAATAATGCAAAAAATTCACTTTTTTCCTGCAACTCCAAATAAATTGGTTTAAAGATCAAAATTTTCCTTATCTTTCAAGCTTTAATACCGCACAAGAAACATTGAGTCCGGGAAAATATTCAACTCACAATTTTTTAAACAATGTTTGTTTACTTTTTTGTATTTTATTTACTGTGAAACGTCTGCTAAAGCTGCGCGCGACGTTTGGAAGTTGTCGCTTTCCTTATTGAGCAGAAGCTCATTACACTAGCGTAGTAAAAAACTTGTTGTGTGAAAAGTGAGGTTTTTCATCCTTCAAAAATGTTTTTTATGATTTTTTACTGCAAAGTAGATAATTAAAAACCATTCAATGTGATAACCAGAAATTTTTACGTTTCGTTTAATGACAACATAACCTCACTTTTCGCACAACATGCTTTCTACTACGCTAGTGTAATGAGCTTCTGCTCAATAAGGAAAGCGACAACTTCCAAACGTCGCGCGCAGCTTTAGCAGACGTTTCACAGTAAATAAAATACAAAAAAGTAAACAAACATTGTTTAAAAAATTGTGAGTTGAATATTTTCCCGGACTCAATGTTTCTTGTGCGGTATTAAAGCTTGAAAGATAAGGAAAATTTTGATCTTTAAACCAATTTATTTGGAGTTGCAGGAAAAAAGTGAATTTTTTGCATTATTTATTGTTGTATTTTTTAAATAAACAATTGTTTTTACTTAAAAAGTGATTTTTTTGGACCTTTATATTAATAAATATTAATAAAAAAATGTTTCATTTAATTTGGAAAGGTTACTCCGAAAAGTGCTAAAAAACTCCTGGAATGGCACATACAATTTTTTATTAATTTATTTTCATATTTATAATTTATAATAATAAATAGTAGTAATAAATAAATTTGTTATTCAGATTAAAAATTCCTCGTGTTTATCTTTAATACTTATATATCAGTAGTAAAAAGAGGTGTTTAGTCAGACAGAACTTTTGTGAATTCTTTTTTGTAATTTTGACATCAAATAAAGTTTCAATCAGAATTTGTTAAAACTTCAATAGATATATAAATAATATATTTAACTTTAATTAAATTATTTTATTGAATTTTGCTAAATTTTTTTTTAAATAATATTTATAATTTGATATAAATAATTATTTACCATAGCATTTCGATCTACGCCAGCAACTTGACCAGTGGCGACAACTAATTTATTAGGATGTATGGCCATGCTGGAAAAAAATATTTTCTTTCTTTTATAAACATTTTACATTTTATATTGTCCATTAATTATCATCGCAATAATCATTAATTAAATAAATTATTTTTGCACTTTAATTATAAATATCGGACGTTTATTTTGTTAATTTCATTTAATTGAATTAAAACAAATTAATCGGTTATTTTTTGTGATCACCGATTACGAATCTGATAACGTATTTTCAAAATTAAAAATGGTGAATCCAATATGGTGGACTTTTTTTAACTTGTTATAGATTTACTTGAATGAGTTTTTATACAGGGTGTTCCAAAAGTATGGAAACTTGCAAATATCTCGAAAACTACGAATTTTCGTAAAAAAATGTTCAACACAAAAGTTGTTTCAAACAAAAAGATCTACATTTTTGAAACCAAAAAATTGGTCCCGAAGCCCAACGTTGGGCCCTATAATGAAAAAAGTGCGGTTTTCTTAAATGAGACTACCAATTTTCAGTATCAAATTCGTAATTCCCATGAAATTTTGCGTTCAGACATGTGGTATAAGTGCCCAAAATATTGGGCCCAAAATTTTTCTATAGATAAATAAATTTTGAAAAATCAAACCTTGGGGGGTTTTCGGAGTCACAGGTTTAGAAATTCTCAAATAATTCTTAAATTGGGTACAGAACCCAATGAGAGATTTCGCGGCCCAATATGAGGCCCAATTAAAAAAATTTGTTTTCTTAAATAAAACCCTTCTAATTTTCAGTATCCATTTCGTAATCTTAGTCTCATCCTCATACTTTTTTACCCACCCTCCTCTCTTCATCAGATTCACAAACTTGATTCTAATTTTAGTGATGTCATTTAAAAAAAAAAAAAATTTACTGTGGGCCTCAAATTGGGCCGAAAAATTTTACATTTGGCTCTAAAAGACTAATTTGAAAATTAGCTTCAAATTTCTAATCCTGTAACCCCAAAAACCTCCCAAAATGAGATTGTTTTAAATTTATTTGTAGAAAAAATGTTGGGCCCAATGTCTGTGATTGGGCCCAATATTTTTCACATTTGTACAATAAGCCTAAACCCAAAATTTCATAACGATTACGAAATAGATATTGCAAATTAGAGGGTTTTATTTAAGGAAACAAATTTTTTAATTGGGCCGCGGAATCTCACATCGGGTTCTGTGCCCAATTTGAAAATTATCTTGGAATTTCTAATCCTGTGACTACAAAAACCCTCCAAGGTTTGATTTTCCAAAATTTATTTATCTGTAGAAAAATTTTGAGCCCATTATCTTAGATTGGGCCCAATATTTTGGGCACTTATACCACATGTCTGAATGCAGAATTTCATGGGAATTACGAATTTGAAACTGAAAATTGGTGATCTCATTTAAAAAAACTACTTTTTTCATTATAGGGCCCAACGTTGGGCTCCGGGAACAATTTTTTGGTTTCAAAAATGTAGATCTTTTATGTTGAACATTTTTTACGAAAATTCGTATTTTTCGAGATATTTGCAAGTTTCCGTACTTTTGGAACAACCTGTATATGGGCATATCTCTGGAACTTTTAAACTTTGAGATATTAGAAAAATTAATTTTTTTTTCAGGGCACATTCGTGAAACAAATTTTATTGTCTTCAGTATTGATCAAATACTATAAAAAATTTGCGTAACTTATTTTTACACATTGTTACGCAGCACAGTGGGCCTTATTGCAAAAAACCTGCCCAAAATCTCTAGATGTGTTTAAAACTGACTGAAATTTGTTACTCGCGGATTTTTTTGGTCGCTGATTACAAATCCGACGTTAGTTTTTCAAAATTCAAAATGGCGGATCCAATATGGCGGACGACTTTTAAAAAAATTGTTCCAATTGGCCTGAAATTTGTTACTTGGGGGTTTTCGTAGCTTAGTTTTTGTAACCATGTACATAAAATTTAAAGTTTCATTACTAATATTTAAAATGGTGTATCAAATATGTCAGAAAGATATTTTTCAATTATTCAATTTTTTAAAAAATTTTGTTTGCAATTTTGGATCCATCATTTTGAATTTTGAAAAATTAAGTTCAGATTCGTAATCAGCGACCCCATAAACCCCCGAGTAACAAATTTTAGGCCAATGGGATAAATTTTGTAAAAAGTCATCCGCCATATTGAATCCGCCATTATGAATTTTGTAAAACTAAGTTCAGATTCGTAGTTAGCGACGCAAAAAACACCCGAGTAACGAATTTCAGGCCAATTGGATCAATTTTTATAAAAGTCATCCGCCATATTGGATCCGCCATTTTGAATTTTGAAAAACAAAGTTCAGATTCATAATCAGCGACCCCAAAAACCTTCGAGTGAGAAATATCAGCCAGATTTAAACACATCTATTAGTTAATACTTACTTTTCTTCACAAACTATGCGTCGGACAGTTTAGGTTTATATTCATTATTAATTATACAGTTTTAATGAAGTGTGCAAAGGTTAACGATTTTTCTGTAGACTTTTATAATGCATGAGAAGAGATTACAATGAGTTGGGAGCATTTAGAAGCATAATTCAACATGTGTTTTTCAAATATGTGGTTTTTTTATATGAGTTACGTTTTAAAATTTAATGTTTGAAGTCATTGCATTCTTTGTGTAAAGGAGGCACACATTCCTGTATGGGTTCAAATTACTTCTTATTAGGTAGATAATATAATCCCGTTGTGCCGTTACTCAAAAACCTTCGTTAAAAAAGTTATATCAGTTTAACTGCTAACTTGTAGAAATTTTGAAAAACTTGTCTCGCAAGTTTGAAGCTACATATTTTTTATTCAATTTGAGGCACATGATTGTTTCATGGATTTTTTGGTTCTTTACACTCCCACCTACTTCTATTGCAAGCCACAAGACACCACAGAAAAAACTTGGACTCATTTTTGTTGCAACTCATTTTCTTTTGGGTATCGAAATGAGTATGGGACAAACTTCATGTTATTCAAAATGATATTGGCTGGAATTTCAGATTTCTAAGTTGGCATCATAAGCAGAGTAATTTTGTATTTCAATTATTGTTTCTAATATTTCAACAACACCTGAAAGATTATTTTGACCAGTACGAATATTTAGAAGTTTTTAAATAAAAATTATTTATTATTATTTACGTAGATAATAATTAATTTCATAAGTTTTTAAATTTACCGCTATTATTTAAGTTGGCAGTACCGTTCCTGTTGTCAAAACACATGTTTTCATTTTTCTAACCTAAAAACATATTTCCTTTATTATTTTATTACGCGATTACAAGCAATTTTTAATCAAATATATTAAGTCTAGCGTGTTATTTACTTCTTTGTAATTATTATATTTCATGTTTTTGTGCAAAATTATTCGTTATTTCACAATATTTTTCCATTTTTCTTTTTCTCAAAATGAAACTTGCCTGTTTCATTTTGATACTTTTACCTTAGAACTCGAAATGAGACAACCAGTTTCATTTTTGTTGCGAATCAAATTGAGTATAGAATCTATACTCAATTTGAATTCAGGTTTTTTCTGTGACACAATGTTTCGTTAAAAAAGTTACAGTTTATAAACTAAAACAAACAGTCAATATCACACACTAGAAACTGTCGATTTCACCACTTTAACTTACGTTTGTCATTTCCTACATAATTAAAAAAATTATATAACGCATGATACATTTAAAAAGCCCTATAATTTGTCAAATTATGATATTGAAAAATTATTAAAAAAATTCTTAATGTATCATAATGAGCGATAACATAAAGTTTAAAAGTTCTAGAGATATGCCCATATATATGAATAAAGTTAACTGAATATATAGGAATTTTTCGATTAGGACAGCTGGTGCATTAAAATTTTTTCAGAGCAGTTATATATTATTTGTTTTTATTAAATTAAAAAAAAAAATTGAAAGCCATAAATAAATAGAGTAAACATACCACTTGACATCGTCAGTATGACCAATGTAATGTCTTTGACTGTGAACTTCCATATTATAAAGGACAACAACGCCAGCGACAAAATAGACAATTTCTCCAGTTGGAAGGAGATGTAAATTATTTCGACAGTCTCTTCCTCTGTATCCATAGACCCAGTCTAATTTCAATTTACTCTGAGGTGGTGTATTAACCTTATGGGGATCGTAGGTCTCCACCAATGGAGTAGGCACATAAAGGAGAATTGGTCGTCCTCGAAGGTATATTCGTACAGTACCATCATCCTCGTTGTACTGCATGTCTCTCGTGCTGTCAAATAACAAAAACTCATATAAATTTTCCACCTTCCATAAAATTATCCCCATAAATCATATTTAAATATTGAAAAAAGGAAGAAATAATTTTATCTATATTATTTCTGACAGAGTATACGTTTTATTATAGAAATTTATTTACACTCGTTATATGTGGCTTAAATATATATTTCCTGATATTCTCCATACAATATATTATTTTATTTAATTAAATCTTCGCTGAATTTTTTTTTGTACTTTTTTCTCAGAAAAATGAAAAAATCCAGTCTTTGTTTTAATATTTAAATTTTAAATCTTTCTTTTTATTCTATCAAAATTTGACGTTGGGGAACAAGATACTTTTTATGCTTATTGCATTTTTAAAATCTGATTTAAAAATGAATTTATTAAGGTTAAAATGTAAGTATTTTTAAAAACTGAAGTTTGATGTCTGATTATTAATTTTAAATTTAACTTAAATTTATTTTAAATTTAAAATTAACTTCTGTTTCCCTTACGTTAAACTATGATAGAATGAAAAGGAAGATTTATTTTAAATATTAAAACACTGACTGTATTTTTTCATTTTTCTGAAAAGGAGTTATTAGTATTTCAAAACCAGTGGAAAAATTTCAAAACCTCAACATTGAAGATAAAGTTTTCAATATTTTTATAATTTTACATTACACCCAGAAAAATGGTATATTTGTCTCGCAGCCTAATAAATATTTATTTGATTCAAATAAATTTTTATTTGATTTAAATAAAAAAATTTCTTTACACCAAATAAATGGGCTAGTAGGCTGTGAGACAAATATAAGTTTATTTAATTTAAATATACTATATTTGGTTTAAATAAAACATTTCTCTGGGTGTAAAAAATTTATCATTATCTATATTATTTTTGTGTTTTTTAATTAAATTTTTACAGCTGTCAAATTAACCTTTTTTCCTTGCTAAGTACTCATATTTTTAAAATTCAAATTCCAAGTTAAATATTCAAATTTTATTAAATAATTGTCAAAAATGAATTGTACGTATATTCAAAATGATTATTATGAATTATTTTTAGTATTGACCCTTATCGTAATATTTACACTTGATTTAATTCTTTATGCTTTATTTTTTTTTAATTAAATTTTTTTAAAATTAAGTTGGTTTTACTGACTATATTTTTAGTTTGATCCTTTAATATAAGTTTTGGTTTTATTTTATTATTCACGGATAAAAAGATTTACATGGAACAGCAAAAGGTTTCACTATAGAATAGTAAAATATTTAACTGAAACAATTAAAACTTTTGCTATTCTAACGAAATCTTTCTTTGTTCCAGGTAAATCTGTTTTATTATAATTTTTTTAATAATAATTTTTATAATTATTTATTTTATTATTTTTATAATTGAAAGTTTATAAAACTTACATATATATACACTACTATTTTTTGTTGTTAATTAATTTAAAATCTTTTTTGGTTACATGGAAAAAAATCTTCACCTGGAACAGCGATAAGTTTCACTGAAACAACGATATATTTTTCTAAAACAGCGAAAGTTTTCGCTATTCCAAAGAAACATATCGCTGTTCCAGATAAAGATTTTTTTTTCCCTGTAAGTTACTGCGAAGAAAATTGTAATTAGTTATTTCCATTGAATCAATTAAATGGATCATTTAAATTTCTTGCCTTATTTAAAATTACATGACTCACAAAATGATCTAGGACGCTAACTTGGTAAAGTGAATTTAAAAGTGCAGCCACTCCAGCTGGAAGCTGTTGCACCACTGGTTTACGAGTTGGATTACGAGGATGAAATTATTGGTAAAACGGAGGGACTTTTTTTTTGCAAGTCGCTGACTCATTTCTGTTCTGTGCGCGAGGACTGCGAATGCACCTTCTCGTTCTCATGTTCACTCAAAAGTAACAAGACATGCTTCGCGAATCACGTCGCGGTTTTCATTATATTTTCACTTTTCTTTGTCTCAAACGCACATTCTAGATAAATATATTCAAATAAATATATATATATATATGAGCAAATCCACGAAACTTATAACTTTTGTGATTCTCAAATTGAACACTTAAAAATCTGAATTATTTTTAATTAAAACTTTGGGTATCATTTTTTTTTTTTTGCTAAATTATATACAAAGGAACATTTATGTACAGTATTAGAACAAAATATTTTTCAATTTTATATGTAATTTATTAACATTAAAGAGTTAAACATTGACGGCGTGAGCTAAAAATGAATCACGCATATGAATTTGTAGTGCTAAAATGTACTTGAACGTGTATACAAAAAGTGACATCAATGTGCCTGCAAATTAAAAAAAGAAATTTTCTTTTTCTTGAAAGTTAAAAGTTTCGTGGATTTGCCCATATCTTCTTTTATCCTCAGCTGTATATTATATTTGAAAATTCAACTTCCGGTTACAGATTCATTATTTCGTAAACTTTGAAATTTTACTGATTCACAGAAAATTAAAAGGCATTAAAATAAGTTGCAACGCTTATTATTTTAATCCAATTTTGCTTATTTTAATACCAAAATGGATTAAAATAAGAAAAATTGGATTAAAATAATAAGCGTTGCAACTTATTTTAATGCCTTTTAATTTTCTGTGTTATCATTAATAGATGATAAAATTCCAAATGAAAATAGAAGCACCTTTGAAAAGGATAAATATTTTGCATTATTTTTTAGTTTATTTTTTGTTTTCTTTGTTTAGCATATACAATTGTAATTTTAAATTTGAAGACCCAGATTCGGAGGAAACGTGACTTCCGGTTTCGAACAGAAACGACATTGAAATTGTTGAGGAACTCTCATAAAAATAAATAGAGTTACTACTGTGGTTTTTTTTTTTATTACACTCTCAGAGAAATACAATATAATTGAAATTGGATTCTTGTAATTTTCAGAATTGTTCAAGTATAAAATAAATAATCTTTAATGTGTCCTTCATATTCGGATTTTGTAATAATTTTAATTTTATCCTGTCCCCAATTAATTTAGGGCAAGTTTTCACCAACTCCGATTAAGAGTTAATTAGCGATTAAATATTAAATAAATTAATCGAATTATTTAATTTTTATTGTCAATAATAATAATAACAATTAATGATATATATTTTTCTTTAATTATTATTATTTACATTATTATTGCTATGATGATGATTATTATTATTATTATTTTCACAATTATTTGTAGCGTAAATTAAATTTTTCTTGATGAAAAAGAATTTTTTTTTTCCATTCATGTGCGCGACAATGAAATGTAATGATGCATTTCAAGTTAAAATTAAAAATTGCTCTCTTCATTAACACCATTCGCCTACTCACGAATTAAATGAACCGTTGTGAAAAAGAGAGACACGAATGTAACGTGTATCCAGGTTAGAATATCCTCATCCAATTACCTGAAATACCGTTATTAAGTATATAAAGAATGTCTTATATAATCCAAGTTTGCAATCAGAAATTTTTTCTCATCTACATAAATATTTATACAAGCAAAAAAAAAAAAAAGTAACGCACATTTAATAATAATCAATCTTTTTTCGACTCTTTCAATTTTATAATTAAAATCAACTTTCTTGTAATTATTTTCAATTCAATTTTTTAATTGACACTAAAAAAAAGAATTGTTTTCTTTAAAAATATTCAGAATGAATTATTTTATTATTTAATTTGTCAAAAAGATTTTTATTATATTTAATTAATTATGTTTAAATACACGGAACATAAAACAGCTTATTTTGAAGATGTATTTGATTGTCTATAAAACAAAGATATTTCTAATTTGAGATTTATATCGTTAAATTTATCGGTGCAAAAAAAAAACTATTTAATGATATTCAGGAATGCTAGTATTTCCTTAAAGGTAAAACGCGAAACTCCTTCGTTTTGATAAATATGGAAACTCGTTTTCTACTTGACGGAGAATTGAATTTAAATTTATACTAAAAAGCCAAACAAACTAAATATGTAGTGGGAGTATCGTTTATTTCTTTTTCAACTTTTGATTTAATCGAATTAAGTCAAGATTTAATTCTTTTCCGAGCATTGACTTGAAAAATCGGTATATATTTATATGATCTCTAAGCCAGTTTATCAACCCATAAGTATCTACGCAAATTATGCAAGCCGCCTCTGCCCACCTTCCGTATAATGAGAGTTCCCCAACCTCGGAAATATCTCAGATTGTGTATACATTATTATGCGATTCACATAATTGATATTCATTCCTCATATCGAAAATTGGTAATGCAAATATTTGGAATATATTGAATTCCAAGGAGGAAGTAGAAAATTATTTTTTTTTTTCCATATAAGATTCAATGATAATTAACATAATTATTATAGTTAAGATTTTTTACGTTATTTATGCATAGAAACAAAATTTCATTCATTGAAATAATCCGAAATAATCAGTTACTTGACTATTATCAAATAAATAATTATATTTGATACCAAATAATTTTTATTTGAATTAAATAAACATTGTACTACTAATTTCTGTATTTGAAACAATACCATTTAATTGACTAAAATAATAATTTATTTTAAATACAAAAATTATTGATACAGTTTAGTTAATACAAATAAAAATTATTTTCTCCATAAATAAATATTTATTTTATAATAACAAAGTAAACAGACTATTTGAATCAAATAAATTTTTTTTATATACAAGTCAAAATATTATTTTCATGCAAATTATTATACAATATTCTTATATCTAAATAATATTATATTATATATGTTAAAAATTATTTAGAATTGGAAAATTTAAATAATAATTAGATAAAATGTAAAATTTTGAGTAAGTTTTTAAAAAATTATCTCAAATTCCATATTCGCAGGAATTTTTTGTTTTATAACGTATTTTATTACAATTCTTTTTTGTTAATTATATATTAGGTAATTATTTTTTATTTTTAATTACATACATTGAAGTTAATTATTCAACTATTTTTTTTTTATAATTAACATTATGTTTAAAATTTTGTATTTTATTCTTAAAATAATTTATTGTATGGAGAATTGTAATGAAAATTGAGGGAATTTTTTTTTTTTATATAGGAAAAGAAATGTTTCCTGTATAGAATAATTAAATATTATAAATTATTTAAAGGTGTTGGTTAAGTATATGAAATGGAAATTAACTTTCCCTAATTACTTATTGATTTATTTACCCGTGTTTCACGCTGTTTGGCACTGGAGGCTTGAAGAGGTTGAACAATGATTTGGTGGAGGCAGATAATCTACAATGAATGAAAAGGCAAACAAAAAAAAACAAACCATGCGACACAAAAGAAAAACATATCATAAATGCAATCATAAATTTTTTTAAATCTTCGTTTAAAAAAATTTCAAATAACTATATAAATAGTGAAATTTAACTTAATTCTTTAAAGTATAAAAAATTATATAACATTCCTTTTTGTTGCAAAAAAAATTTACACAAACAAAATGTAATTATTCCAATTTTTGTAAATATATTTTAATATTTAATTACAAAGAATTAAAAATTATTGTTTAACTTATACTTTAAAAAATTAATCGTCTAAAATAATAATCGTAAAATAAACTATAATAACTGTCTGAAATAATAATTATTGTTTAAATTATAACAAATTATCAATAACAATAGTTATTAAATTTTTTTCTACGAAGTTTTTAAGGGGAAAGTATACTTAAATTAACAAAAGCTATATATACATATAAAACATAAATCAACTTCATAGTGCAAACATCAAAACGAGCAAACGAAAAAAAAAATGAAGAAAGCGGTAGTTATATTTATTTTAAAGAGTATAAATATAATTATTGAGCAATATTAAAAGTAATATAAAAGCAGAAAAATTGTAACTCGCGGAATCATTTTGTAAACAAATTTCGTAATTATTCATCCAGTATAAAAATTTATCAGTGATAACTTTAAAAATAGTTTATACATTTCACCGCGAGTATTTAGAATTACAATATTTTTCCAATGATTCACTGGGGTTTTTTATTATTGAACAATTTATTATTATTGAAAAGTAGTTTAAAATATTAATTTTAAAAATTCAGTAAATATTTTCTATGTAGATCTGAATTACTGAAAAGTGAGCCAATAATATTATTCGAAACAAAAAAAAATTAAGATAGTATCATTACAATAATAATTATTTTTACAATTATTATTACACTATATTATTATTATTATTTTTATTATTATTATTATTTTATAGAATTTTTTATAAATCAGTACAGTTAAATTGAAATTTTAAGAAGAAACTAAATATTTTTAAGTCAAAATTTAAATATTAATTCTAAACTTCAATAATAGCTTGTGTTATTCAAGTTTTTCTAAATATTTAAATAGACCTGATCCATTTCAAATCAATGGGATATATTGAGAATTATAATTTCCCAATAAAATATGTTTTTGTTGCTTTAGAAAAATAAAGGAAAAAATATGTGTTCTTTGAAATTTATATAAAAACATTTTTTCCACTTTTTACTAATTTGTTTTAAAGATTTTGACAAAAAAAAAAAAAAAATAATTTTTTTGCATAATTAATTATAGTTCTTTTCATGACCATTTTATATGAAAAAATTTTATTAAAAATAAAATTCAATTATTTTTATTGAACATTTTTCATAATAATATCCTGATTTGAAACAAATATACCATTTGATTGACACAAGTAATAATTATTTGATACAACTAAATATTTATTTGATAATAGTCAAGTAATCGAGTATTTGAATCAAATAAATTTTTTTTCAATGTATATAAAAAATAAAAAAATCACTCTATCAGTAACTAAACAGCTTAATTCTGTCGAAAATAACTAAATTTTCAATAAAAAATGTATGTTTTTTTTTTTTTTTTTGTTAAAATCTTTCAAAGTTTGTAAAAATGTAAAAAAAAACTTAGGAAATTTTTTAAAAAAATATTTCTTATTCTTCAAGCAAAAAAACATATAAATAGTGCTTATGTGATTAAAGATTTATATTTTTTTGTACGTCTATATAATGATATTGAACATCACTTTCACATATATATATATATATACAACAAATACCGTGAATTGTTTAATGACAGACTACAAGTGCATATAATGCATAAATTATAGATAAGTAGATATCTAATCTGAAATTGTCTTTTCTAGTACCTAAAGTAATTTTTGAATTCCGCGGCATGAACGACTTTTGCACTTAAAATATCTTTTCTTGGACCTTTCTCACTCTCTCTCTAAAGATTTAAAGCGGATCGAGTCAACACTCCTGATGTTAACGGGGAAATAAATGGATTTCAACTTACCTAGAACCGGCAAGTTGAGTGTTATTTCCGGGACATTGAGGGGAATGCGTAAAATCGCCCGTTGAAGACCATCTCTTTGCTCTTCTTAAACTACTAGGCGGTGGTCCATTCGTTCTTGTTGTTAGAGATCTGCTGAGGATTTTACACGATACTCGTTCGTTTTATCATTATCTCTCTTTCTCTCTCTCTCTCTCTCTCTCTCTCTCTCTCTCTCTCTTGTTTTATTTTTCTTTTTTTTCTAGCTTTACCGTCAATTTATTAAAATTAAATTTTTTATTCCAAAAAAGCAACAAAAAAAAAAAAAAAAGAAAAAAAAATCTCCGTGAAATATATTATGCATTTTTTTTCTCATGCAAAAAAAAATTCTAGCAATGACAAAATAAAAAAATTCTGTTTGTTTTCAGGCTTGTGTCATGCGAGAATATAAAATAGATTTAAAGTGTTATATTTACCTTGCAGCAGGAAGTGGCGTAGCCCTAGGACTGGGCGATGGCACTGGAGATACGCTACTACTGCTTGGGCTGTCAGAGTGTAGAGAATTTGTTGATTGATAGTGGACGGATCTTCTAAAAATTCAATAGACAATTAATACTACAACTCAAAATTTCTTTTTAAGAGTGATTTAATTTTTAAATTATTGGAATTGAACGATTTTTTTTTTATTATTATTAATTAATTAGTTAACATTGAGAAAAATATTTTTTTTCGGATTTACAAAATTTAAAGTGACGGATTTTTTAACTCGTGCAGAAATTGCCCCATTTTGCCCTATTTAAAGTAGGATTTTAGTTAGGGCCTCGACAGTTTTCCCTGTTTGAAGAAAATGTTAATAAATTAAATTTTTGAGATTACCGTTTGTAAAAAAATTATTAATAATTTTTTTAAAAAAACCATAATGATAACCCGAAATTATAGCCATTTTCACCAGCTTAAAATAAATAAATTTTATAGTTTACTATTTGGTTGCAAATCTTACAAAACATAAATTTTTGTTTTTCATTGTTATAATTAAAAAATAGTTTGCTGTGTAAATTTTTTTTTGGAAATATACTCTCTAAATCTGAATCAGTGAAATTCCACTAATTAAAATCGCGAGAATTGATTTTCAGTCAAATTTCACTGATTCAGTTTTAGAGAGTATTATAAATTTGTGAGTTACTTCCGTTTAGGAAACAAAAAATATTACAATTTTTGACAAAATGATGAGAGAAAAAGTAATTGTCTTTTTTTGCAAAAATACCGCAATAAGGGAAAATTGATTTTGAAAATCTCCTTTGTACTCTTGAAGAAGCAATTACCCTATAGGGATTGAAATGACTTTTTTTTAATGCCAGGAAGTAAAATGGCTATTACCTTTGAGGAAGTTGCGACGGTGAAGTATAATTTCCAGGTCGTCTAGGGCTTGAATTTGCATCTCTGACATCATGAGTTGATCCTGACGTTGGAGAACTCCTAAGACCAAGAGAAGCCGTTTGTCGCAGTCTTATGTCCTTTAAAGGAACTGAATTTTGGTTACCTTCAAAGAGAAATGCAAAATTGAATATTAATGAACCGTGCAAAAATCAATATCTATATTTATTTAAATTAATTGACTTTTGTATATGTGAGCCTATCTTTCATGACCCTGACCTAAAAGAGTAAAGTTTTGTCCGTGTGCTAATGCGGCAATCGTGTTTCATATTTCTAATGTCAGAATCAGTGTAATAATAAACAGATGTGCAAAGAATCCAATTGTCTGAGAAATTGAATTTGCTCTTGTTTTGCACTAGCATGGTTTTAAAACATCATCGCGTGCGCGAGTTTTCAACCCCCTCACCGCACCCACAAAGTTTCGAGCTCAAATGGATTTAACCTCGTGAGGTTTCCATTCGCAAGTCATCAAGTACATTTCAAATTTCATTCAAGGTAATTCGAGTATACCTTCCAACATGCTTTTATTTTGAAAAACTTTATTTTCCTCCATTTAATAGTATTAATTTTAGTAATTTTAATTTAATTCAAATAATTGTATTAACTCAATTTAAAAATGTTAGTCATGTGAAGTTGGCACCAAAATCTCAAAAAATGAAAAATCCACAATGAGTTCTGGGTAGATTATCAATAGTTCTAGAGTTCTATAAGTTTTAATTCAATAGTTCCGTAGATTTAGACCAGAAAACATGATATTAAAAAAATAAGGTGCTAACTTCACCCAGCACTATAATTTTCGCAAAAAAAAGTTCTGACATATTATTCCGATAGAAAATACAAAGTTCTAGAGTTCTCTTATAAAACAAAAAATAGTTCCGCAAAATTTTAAAAATTTAAAGTTTTAGTTGATTTGACCATAGTTTTGGCATCTTTATCAATAGATCAACAAATTATTCTTATGAAATTCTACTCTAAACTCAAAATAAAAAAAGTGTTGAAATTTAAAATTTAAAAAAAAAATTTTTCCAAAAATTTGAGTTTTTATGAGTTTTGATAAGAGTTCTGCCATCTTCATCAAGAGTTGTACAAATTATTCTTATGAAATTCTATTCTAAACTCAAAATAAAAAAAGTGCTGAATATTAAAATTTTCAAAAATTTGAGTTTTTATGAGTTCTAATAACAGTTCTGGCATCTTCATCAAGAGTTGTACAAATTATTCTTATATTTTACTCTAAATTTAAAATAAAAAAAAGTACAGAACTTTAAAATTTTCGAAATTTTTTTTTTCAATTTGAGTTTTTATGAATTCTGATTAGAGTTCTGGCATCTTCATTAAAAGAAATTTTACTCTTAATTAAAAAAAAATGAACTTTAAAATTTTCAAAAAAATTTGAGTTCTCATGAGTTCTGATTAGAGTTCTGGCATCTTCATCAACCCGTGCAGAAATTTCCACCCTTCTTCCCGATTTCCGACCTGGCCCCGGCCAGATTATCTGGTCCGGCCCTGGGTCAGTAAATGTTAGTGGCCCCGGTCGTGGCCAGGCCGGGTTGCCCCAATAATAAGATAAGTAAAAATAAATTTTTATAGAGGAGTGCAGAACTCAAGAAGGCTATAGAAACAGGAAGTACACGTTAGGTAGTGGGGGTACGTGACAATTTGGTTTTCTGAAATGGGTGGATAAGTTGCAAGACGCAGTAGCCTCCTGCGCATATTACGAACAGGTGATAATAAAAAAGCAGATATTTATTTTACCGAAGCATATACGTACGTATAGAATCAGTGTTAATATTTTATTCTGAATTACCGCCAGATGGTAAGTCAACAGTTAGTCTGCGCAGAAGACTACCGCGACTTGCAACTTATTCTATTGCTCTGCCTATTTCAGAAAACCCTTTTTCTTACGTATTCGTACGGTACCTCCCATTTCTAGTCTTCTTGGCCTAACTTTTGTTTTATTTTGGATACATAAATTATTTATTTCTGTGAATAATATGCCAAAACACAAAAGTACGAAACGTGTACGGAAACATCGACTGTCAACCCAATTTTCATCTCTGCCAAATATATAAAGTCGTAAGTAAAAAATATTATTCACATGATATTACATTACCAAATAAAAAATAACCTAAAAATAGAGATTTTGTATTCTAACTTTATAAATATTGTTTTTATTTTATTAATGATACATTAGAGAATACAGTATAATAAGACACGTATTAATTTGGAGTGATTATTGCTAAAATTTTTGAGAAAATTGTAGATTACTAATTTACCATATTTCTAAACAAAATCTACATATTGTTCAAAAATTTTAACAATATCCACTCTAAATTGTTAGGCAGATGACTACTGTAGGGTTTACCATACCACAAACATTTGAATGGTGGTCAAATCGGGAAAAATTTGATGGCCCCGGTCGGGTCCCCAGCAGGGAACCAGATCGGGCGCCGAGCCATGGCCCCGGTCGGTTTTATTGTTTCATCCAGGCCGGGGGCAGGCCAGATTTCCCGAAGTGGCCCCGGTCTGGCCCTGGCCAGGGCCCGGTCAAAATTTCTGCACGGGAAGAGTTCTACAACTTATCCTTATGAAATTTTACTCTAAATTCAAAATCAAAAAGAGTGCTAAACTTTAAAATTTTCGAAAATTTGAGTTTTCAGGAGTTCTGAGAAGAGTTCTGGCATCTTTATCAAGAGATCTACAACTTATTCTTATAACAGTTTACTCCAAATTCAAAATAAAAAAAAAAGCTGAACTTTGAAATTTCTGAAAATTTTTTTTTAAAAATTTGAGTTTTCATGAGTTTTGATTAGAGTTCTGGCATCTACATCAAGAGTTCTACAAATTATCCTTATGAAATTCTACTCTCAATTCAAAATAAAAAAAAGTGCATTTACTATTTTCAGAATCTACATTTAACCCCTTCACTTTCAAAAAAATCAAAATTTTTTAGAGTTCTGAATAGTACTAACAGAGTTTTAGATTTCTCCTTTTTATCTAAAATAGTTCTGTACGAAAATTTTTTTTATTTTAAAAAATATTCAAATTACGTGTTCTTTAAGTTCTGATGGGTGTTCTGTTTACCCCCCACTAAGTTCTACAAAAAACACACCTACATTTTTTTTCTAAACTTAAAATTAAAAAAACTACGTGACTTTGAAATTTAAAAAAAATTCAAATAATTCAAAATTGAATTACAAGAGTTTTGATTAGAGTACTGTTTGCCCCTCATTAAGTTCTACAAAAAACAGTAATAAAATTTTTTTCCATTTAAATTTCTTATCAAAGAAACTACAGGACTTTCAATTGACAACAATTAAAATATTTCGAAATTCAGTTCTAAGTATTCTGATAGTAGTTCTGTTTTCTCCCACTAAATTCTACAAAAAACCCTTAAGGGGTCTACCCACTTTAGACGCGATAAAATGAAGTTTGTTTTCTAGAATTTTTCTAATTGGTTTATATTATAAATATTGACATATAAGTTGTTAGACTAAAGAAATACACTCCCGGAATACATGAAAAAATTTTTGTTATTTGTTTTTGTAAATTTTATATGCATGAAAATGGTAGTTGAAAAAAAATCCCACAACAATTTTTTTTCCGCGATCCTTACCAAATTTTTACCACTAATTCTTTGGGACCATAGCTCTTGCGCATATCAAGGGATTTTAAAAATTTTGATTCTAAATATTTTTTTGGGCCCAAAACGGTCATAAACAACGTTTTTTTACATTTTTTTCGAAAAATGTCCGCCATTTTGTCAATTTTGCATAAAAAAAATCGTATGATATGCGCAATAGCTATCAACGTGCTGAATCTAATACCGTTTGAATTTTTTGTTTCAGACCATCCGTGTCAAAAATTTCATCAACAGCGCGCACCACACTTTTTTAAACATATTTTTCAACATGTATTTTTAAATAAAAAAATTAATTGAAAAAAATCAAAAATATTTTTTTTTTGCATTTCGAGAGTGTATTTATTATGTGCAATACCTCGCATATCAATATTTGTAATATAAAACTAAAAAAATATATGAAAATAGCCTATTTTTAGCCTGTCTAAAGTCCAAAGTCTTAGAAATCAAAATATGTTAAATTGAACTCGCAACATAACTCTTGGAACTCAATTTTGAAACATTTTTTTTTTTTAAATTTTGAGGTCATGTAGTTTTTGTAATTTTAAGTTTAGAAAAAAATTTTAGGAGTGTTTTTTGTAGAACATAGTGGGGGGGGGGGGTAAAAAGATTTCCCATCAGAACATGTGCAACTCGTAATATAAAAATTTATGAAAGTAAAAAAATTTTCGACTGTATATTTGCAGTTCTATTTTTAAAAACATAGGGAACTCTACAACTCTGTTAGAACTACTCAGAACTCATAAAAAGGTTAATTTTGAAAAAAAATTTGTTTAGAATATCAAAGTTCACCCATTTTTTTAATTTTAAATTTTGAGTAAAATGTTCTAAGGATAAATCGTAGAACTCTTTACGAAGATGCTAAACCTCTTATCAGAACTCATAAAAACTCAAATTTTTGAAAAAAAATTTTCGGAAATTTCAAAGTTCAGCACTTTTTTTGATTTTGAATTTAGAGTAAAATTTGATAAGGATAAGTTGTAGAACTCTTGATGAAGATGCCAGAACTCTAATTAGAACTCATGAGAACTCAAATTTTTTCGAAAATTTCAAAGTTCAGCACTTGTTTTGATTTTGAGTTAAGGGTATGTGGGCGAAGGAGGTTTTTTTGTGGTTTGAATCTTTCTCTGAAATAAAAAATGATTTTGGGTTGAAATTCGGGAGAAATGATTTACTTTGGTACAAGGAATCTCGCTGTTCTACTTTGTTTAAAGATAGATTTAAAAGATTAAGCCAAAAAATCATTCTCTTACGAATTTTCTAAATGTTATGAATTTGAAAAACTCAAAAGTTTAAGTAAAAACCGATTTTCTCACGGTGTTTGAAACTTTCTCTTTTCTTTTTTTTATACATAAGTCTAACTAAACAAAAGTCTATGGAAAACTGCAAAACATGGGTTTAGCATGTGCTGGCCAGGGCCGAGCGCAGCCCTTTTTTTATGATATTGCCTGCAATCGACCCTGGCG